TTAATTTTGCTCACAAGGAACCTATACACAGACAAAGGAGTCATTCGAACAGAACACTGAATGGTATAAAATCAGGAAAGGTGTGTGCCAGGGTTGTATCTTTTCACCATAATTGTTCAATCTGTATGATTAGCAAATAATCTGTGAAGCTGAATTATATGAAGAATGTGGCATCACGATTGGAGGAAGACTCATTAAAAACCTACAATATACAGATGACATAACCTTGTTTGCTGAGAACGAAGGACTTGAAATACTGATGAAGATCAAAGACTATAGCCTTCAGTATGGATTGTACCTCAATGTACAGAAAACAAAAATCCTCACACCAGGACAAATACATAACTATGATAAATGGAAAAGATGGAAGTTGTCCAAAACTTCATTTTGCTAGGATACACAATCAACACTCATGGAAGCAGTAGTTAAGAAATCAAACTATGCATTGGCAAATCTGCTGCAAAATACTTCTTTTAAGTGTACAAGAGCAAAGATGTCTGAGCACTAAGGTGCGCCTGACCCAAGCCATGGTATTTTCAATAGCTTCATATGCATGTTGGGCAATGAATACGGAAAACTGGAAAAGAATCGATGCATTTGAATTCTGGTGTTGGCGAAGAATATGGAAAGTGCCATGGACTGCCAGAAGAACAAACAAATTTCTCTTGGAAGAAGTCCAGCCAGAATTCTTCTTAGATGTGACTATGGTAAGAGTCTCTCATACTTTGGATGTGTTGTTAGAAGGGACCAGTCCCTGGAGAAGGGCATCATGCTTAGTAAAATGGAGGGTCAGGGAAAAAGAAGACCACTCCCCCTCCCAAAGATGGACTGATACAGTGGCAACAGTGAGCTTAGCCCTAACAATTATGAGGACGGTGCAGAACAGGACCGTGTTTTGTTCTGTTGTGTGTGTTCCTAGGATTGCTATGAGTCAGAACTAACTTGACACACCTAACAACAACAACAACAACAACAACAACAACAACAACAACAACTCAACCAAGTACACTGATACAGAGGCTGCAACAATAGCCTTACAGGATGATACTGAAGATGACACAAAACCAGACACTTTCTTTCTCTTTGTACACAGGGCCACTGTGAGTCAAACAACTTGAGGGCATCTAACAACAATGATCAACAGGAACTCTGGTGGTACAGTGGTTAAGCGCTTGGCTGTTAACACAAAGGTTGGCCGTTTGAACCCACGTAGCAGCTCCTCAGGAGAAAGACTCGGTGATTTGCTCCAGTAAAGAGTAAATCTGGACAAACCAAACCTGTTTTCACCAAGTCAACTGCAGTAGAACTTTGTCCTATGGGATTGGTATGAGTTGGAATCAACTTGTAAACACAGAACAACAACATAACTTAATAAGCTGTGAGGTTGAAATGAAATAAGGAATCAACTAATATTTGTATCGCCGAGGTTTTAGAGCTGAGCTTCCCCTTTGCTGCATGTTGGAATCCTGAAGGAGGTCTCATGTATTAACGATGAGCTGGGAGCAGATACATGAATAGACATGCAGGCTGAGCGGGAATGGGAGGAACAGTGAAAGTGTACACATGAATATGTATCAGTCTGACGAAGATATTTGCTAATGAATATTTACCTTTGCTGCAAACATGTCCATGAATGTAATGGAGCATACAGGGAATAAAGGTACGAAAACGTCTTAGACATAACCAAACACCTTGCGGTAAAGAGTCACTGGGCCTGAGGGCTCAGGAACATAGTCATGGGGGACACCATGGTATATTGGCATAATATAACCCACAAAGACAATGTTCTGCACCCAATTTAGTGAGCAGCAATTGGACTCTTAAAAACTTGTGAGTGGCCATGTAAGTTGCAACTTTTAGTCTCTCCCTGACTGGAGTGAAGAAAATTCAAGACTTAAGGTAACAGTTAGCTCAAAGGGCTAATGGATCACTTGAGCATCCGCCCTCATGACGCTGAGACCAGAAGAACTAAGGGACCATATTAGAGAGTTCTGGGTAAAGTGTAAGAAAAATATGGAACAAAACTCAAAATCATAAAGTAAAAAAAAAAGGACCAGACTTACTGTTGTTAAGTGCTGTAGAGTTGGTTCCAACTCATAGTGACCCTGTACAGGATTCCTGAGGAGCAGCTGGTGGGATTGAACTGCTGAAACACAGACCTTTTTGTTTATGGTCCTGCTCCACAAGATAGAAATTGATGGAACTCCTGACACTATGGCCCTTAGTCACCCTTCCAGTCTTAGAAATAAACTCACTTCCACGGTTGAATTTTCAGCCAAATAGACAGGTGTGGCACTGTGGGTTAATGCGCTTTGTCGTTTGAACCGCAAAGTCGGGGGTTCAAGCTCACCAACCGCTCCTCGGAAACCCTATACAGGGCCGCTATGGGTGGGAGTTGACTCGATGGCACTAAACAACAACAACAACAACAACAACATAACGGGAACAAATCACTAGGGAAGCACATACGTCTTATTTGATATCCAATGGGCAGCGTTTACCCAAGGACAACATTCAGAAGGATTAGGAAAGAAGGAAGGATGGAATCAGGAAACACTGGGAGGAAGTAGGAAAAATGATGTTACCTTGTGGGGATTGTAATCAAGCACATCAAATTTACACAAATTGTTGAATGGAAAATTAAGCTGCTCTCTAAACCAATTCACACACACACGAACAGGGTCTCAGAGTCCTCGTGTGGCACTGTAGGATAAACACTGGACTGCAAGGTTGGTTTGAACCGCAAGGTCTTTGATTCAACCCACTAGCTGCTCCTGTAAACAGGGTTGCTTTGAGTTGGAACTGACTGGATGGCACTTAACAACATGACCTTTTATAAGTAGATAGCCAGACCTTTCTACCTATACACCTCGGGGTGGATCCAAACCAACTTTTCCGCTAGTAGCCAAATGCTTAGCCATTTACGCCACCAAGAAGCTCCTGTAGGGGCTTATGTGAATTGGTTGGGAATGCTACCTGGGCAAGAGGGACTTTGCAACCTCTCCAGGTAGAGATGCCACATTTGTGAGGATGAGGCAGAGCTGGGCAGGGAGGTGGCACCTACTTCCGGACATCTAGCCATCTAACCAGGTCTACCGGGTAACTAGAACAGATCCGGTTGCTTATAGATTGTCAAAGGAGGGTTTGGCTGGCCAGGTCTTCAAATTTACATTCCTTTTCTTTTTTCAGTTATCTCTGAGGCCTTAGCCTTAAATATCTGTCACTTCGCCCCTATAAGCGGATTTCCAGAAAAATAGGGGCGATCCGCGGGATGCGCGCTCAAACACTTGCATAGACATCACCCAAAGGCTGGGAGAGGGCGCGTCCCAGTTCCCGACTCGCGCTCCAGCTCGCTCCCGCCCGGCCCGCCTCCTTCCTCTCGCGAGGAAGTCTCGCCGCCGGAAGTGCCCGGCGCGCGCGCGCGCGCGCGCGAGCGCGGCGGCAGGGCGGTAGGAGGCGCGGACTGGCCGCCGGCTGCAGGAGGGAGAACCCTCACACTTGTGGGGTGTGGGCCGCCGACGGGGAAGTTCGCTGGTTCGCTCCTCGCTCGGAGCTCCCTGCGAAAGGCTGGGACCAAGGCGGCCCTCGCAGCCCTCGTAGGCCGGGGGGCTTCACGGGCCCGCGGGGCTGCTGCTGTCCGCCTCATCTGGGGTGTTGTTGCAGGAGCGGCCCCATGTTGCGCTTTCCGACCTGTTTCCCGTCTTTCCGGGTGGTGGGAGAGAAGCAGTTACCGCAGGAGATCATTTTCCTGGTTTGGTCTCCCAAGCGGGACCTCATAGCTTTGGCCAACACAGCGGGCGAGGTAAGTGAGCAGGTGGGCAGCCCCCCGTGGCATGGCCTGCCCCCGGTGGGGGCCCAGAACACAACCCGCTCGAACCTCAGTTTCCCCTTCTGTAGACGTGATGGACCACATTCCCTGCCCGGCCCCTCCGTCCCAGGCCAGCTGTAAACTACACAGTAAAGTAGAAAGGGTAAAGGAGCCCCGGGTGCCCTAAACGGTCCACCAGAGGCACCTCGGAAAAAAGGCCTGGCTGTCAGCTTCCGAAAGGCTACAGCTCTGAACACTATGGAGCAGGTCTCTGTACACATGGGTTTGCTGTGAGTCGAAATTGACTCTGTGGCCATCCATTTGGTTCCTACTTTATAGCGACTCAGTAATAGGATTTCCAAGAGCAGCTGGTGGGTTTGAACAACCAACGTTTCAGGTACAAGTCCAGTGCTTATCCTACAGTGACACACCAGGGCTCCACAACATGTTGGTTAGTGCTGTTGAGTCAAATCAACTCAGAGCAACTCTGAATAGGGTTTCCAAGAAGCGGCTGGTGAGTTTGAACCATCAACATTGTGGTTCAAACCTACCTTTGTGTTAACAGCCGGACTTATAACTACTACACTACAGGGCCATCTAAAAACCCTGTGTTGTTAAGTGCCATCTGTCTAGTCGTGTCTGACCCATGGCGACCCTGGATAGGGTGTCCAAGGAGCAACTGGTGGGTTTGAACTGCCAACCATGTGGTCCACAGTCCAGTACTGATCCTACATTGCCACACCAGGAGTCCAACGACCCTCTGGTTGTTTTGTTGGTTATGTGCCATGGAGTCGGTTCTGACTTATAGTGACTCTGTATAGTGTTTCCGAGACTGTAAGTCTTTATAGGAGCAGAAAGCCTCCTCGTTCTCTCATGAAACAACTGGTAGTTTCAAACTGCTGACTTTGAAGTTAGCAGTCCTACTCATTACCACTACGCTACCAGAGCTCCTTAAGGACCCTGTAGGGCAGAGTGTAACTAACTGCTCCATAGGGAGGTTGAGGTTGGAAATCTTCATAGGAGCAGACAGCCTGGAGCAGCTGGTGAATTTGAACCTCAGACTCTGGGGTTAGCAGTCTAGTGCTTAACCAACAGCACCTCCAAGACTCCTTGCATATATATCAGTTATTGATGTCTTTATGCCTGCTTTTGTTATTTTGTTACCTAGCACAGTCATACAGTTCTACATCCTCAAGTTAACCCTCTCTTGCTGATGTATTTGCTAAAAGGATATCTTTTAAAGCCCCGTTGTATGTCATGAGCTAGACAGGAGATCCACAGACCTTGCCCCAAGGTGCTTACAGCTTTGTAGCCAAAGAAAGATGAGTTATAATTGTCAGACTTTTAGCTGCAAATGACCACTAGCTATCACAGGCCAGTTTTAAGAATTTACGTTCATTGTCCAAGTTTTGTACTCGGGCTTGACTAGCCACCTGGTGGCTCTCCCTGCCCCCATCCCCCCATAAAAAATCCTGTAAATTGAGTAAGGGAGTGGTGATACACCAGTGCTTGCCAGAATGTGCAAGAGTGTTGTCAGTTGGCATTTTTTTGATTCATGTTACGTTATGCTTCATCAACTATAACCCCATTGTATCCAACTTTCTGTTGAGATTTCCTATTGCCTGGCAGTCATCTTGTAAGGAAACCTTCACCTGTCTATTTGCCCTCCTCTGGCCTCTCAGCAGTTTTCTTGGTAGATTTTGTGCCACATTAGTCTCGTGCGTGCATCTGGTGCGTGTAGCCAAGTTTGGAAAGTAGATGGTCAGGAACTGTAGCAGCCAGCAAAAGTGCAGTACCATGTTACCTGCCATGAGCCATCAGCATGGTAATAAGGTCTTGTTTCCCCAGGCCTGTCACCAACTCTCCTGTGCCCTTTGCTAGGATGTGCCGTAGCTGTCATGGTTCCAGATAAAGTACAGGGCTTTCTGTCACGGCAACAGGAAGGTAGATACAGAGAGAAGTTTTCATTGCAAGCAGCGGGGTGGAAGTGTGAGCAGATGCTTGCTGCCTCCCATTTTCTTAGTGAAGGAATAAGCAAGGGCCTTCGCCTAAGAGCTAGAATGGAGGAGAAAGTGCTGGAAGTTAGAGAATGAGCTAGGTAAAAGCTAACAAGGTATGTTGTTGTTAAGTGCCCTCGAGTGGGTTCCAACTCATAGCGAACCTGAATAGGGTTTCCGAGGAGTGACTGGTGAGTTTGAACTGCTAATCTTGTGGTTCAAACGGACCTTGAGGTCCAGTACTTACCCTCCATTGCCAAAAGGCACGTGGACTAGGGTCATTAAGAAGCACATGAGATTGGTGATGGTGTAATTTAAGGAGCTTTGGGAGTGTAGTGGTTACAAGTTGGACTTCTAACCTCCAAGTCTGCAGTTCGAAACTACCAGCCATTCTGTGGGAGAGAGATGAGAATTTCAGCTCCCATAAAGATTTATAGCATCAAAAACCCTGTGCAACCATGAGCCACACAACCACCCCCAGCAGTTTGAAGGAGGGCCAGTAGAATTCTTGCCTCCCAGGTAGGAGACCTGAACTCACCTCCTGGCCAAAGCACAGCGGGGGCTGGCATGGAGGTATGATGTTGACCGGGTTTCAGTGGAGCCTCCAGACTGACAAACTAGGAGGAAAGGCCTGGTAATCTTCTGCTGTCACGTCAGCTGGTAAAAACCCTTCAGCTAACAGCCATCCCATCTCATAGTGAGATAAGGCACCAGGAGTCTGAGCCAGCCTAGCAACTCACAACAACATCCATTGGAGGTAACCAGTGAGCATGGTGTCAGTTGTGGTCAGCTGTGTGTGCGCAGGCCTGGCTGGGTTTAACCACAGTTGTTTTGCTGGTATGGCAAGGCAACAGAGAAGCAGGGGTTGTTGTTAAGTGTTGTTGAGTCGGTCCCAACTAAGCGACCCTGTGTAGGATTTCCAAGGAGCGGCTGGTAAGTTTGAACCATCGACCTTGCAGTTCAAACCAACCTGGTCGATCGCTTACCCTACAGCGCCATACCAGGACTCTGGGGTCGGAACTTGATGAGAGTGCCTTGCTTTTGGGGATCTCAAGTTTTCCTTACCACTTTACTGTCAGTCATTTCAATGGGAAGTGTTGGAGATTGGCTTGTCTGCCAGGTGTCTGCCTCACCCAGCTGTCTTGGCTTTCACAGGGCTCACAGTAATGGGCTGAGGATGGACGGGAGGGAGGACGTGTTGTGGGAATAACAGTGACTGGTGTATGGTGAGGTTGAAGGAGTGGTGTGGCGCTGTAGGATAAATACTAGACCACAAGCTGTGAATTGCAAGGTTGGTGGTTCAAACTCAGCAGCCATTCCCCGGAAACTCTATACAGGGTTGCTACAAGTCAGAACTGACTCGATAGCACTTAACAAAAACTATTAGTAAGAGTGAGCTGGAAAGCAAGAGATGGTTGGTGGGAGTGGGAAGCAGATTATTGTGACGTTGCAGTTGTTGCCTCTGATGAAGTCAAAAGTGTGACCTTAGGAGAGGCTGAGCTAAGATCAAAGACGATCCCCGGAGGACGGGCAGTTGAGAAATGTGAAAACCCTAGGCCCTTTGGGGCTTGAAGTGACCAGGGATGATGAGGACGAAAAGCCGAGTAACCGCAGCACTGCTCTAAGAAATGACAAGAATGGCCCGAGGGCCTGGAGATGAAGCTGTGAAGAGGCACACTGGATAGGATCCTCTGGTTGTGTGCAGCTCCAGGTGTAGGATTTTAAGAAGAGAAGAAAAAGGGCCCAGAGACCGTGGGGTGTCTTCAGGACGCCTACTCCATCTCCTAGGACACCATGGAGGACAGGCTTAGGGGAGAGACTGAGGGCTGGATTCCACAGGGCACAGCGGAGGGCATTGGAGAAACGCTGGCTGGGGCATGGAGTATAGGAATGAGCCGATTCCATCTAGAGGGTGAGGAACCCTGACTCCACGTGGTGACCAGTGTAACCAGAGCGAGGTGTGTCGGGATGGTGGTGCAGCTGTGAGTATGGGGAGCTAGGAGTGTGGGAGGTGTGTCCAACAATGCACGTGGTTCTGAAGTCCTTTCTAACTTCGTTTCACTGGTTGTATAGAGGCTGGAGGAGTCCTGGTGTGGTACTGTAAGGTCAGCACTGGACTGCTAACCACAGGGTTAGCAGTTCAAACCCACTAACCCCTCCTTGGAAATGCTATACAGCGTCTCAGTGAGTTGGAACTGACTCATGGTGTAGCACTGTAGGATAAGCACCAGACAGCTAACTGCAAGGTTGATGGTTCAAACCCACCAGCTGCTCCTCGGAAATCCTATACAGGGTGACTATGAGTCGGAACCAACTCAAGGGCACTTACGGACAACAACAACAAGAAGTGACTTCTCTGTCTGCATGGTATCAATAGTTAACATGCTCAACTGCTAACAGAAAAGTTGGAAGTTCAAATCTACTTCTTAATAATCAGCAGTGAAAACCCTATGGAATACAGTTCTGTTTGGATGCCCATGAGGTCTCCATGAGTTGGAATTGGCTCAACGGCAGCTGGTCCTGATAAGTGACCGATTTAAAAATCCATGGCTAGTAAGCCACACATCCCAATTTGTCTGATTGCAAGGCTAGAGCTACTGGACTGTATTGTTGTTAGATGCCCTCGAGTTGATTCCATCTCACAGCAACCTCATGTGACAGTAGAAACTTCCATAAGCATTTCGCTGTATTGTTGTTAAAGTGCTACTGAGTTGGATCCGACTTTTAATGACTTTGTATCAGGTCCCTTTTGTTGTTGTTAGGTGACATTGAGTTAGTACTGATGCAATAGCGACCCTATGCATAGCAGAACGAAACACTGTCCGGTCCTGGACCAACCTCACAATTGTTGCCACGCTCGAGCCCATTGATGCTGCCTGCCACTTGGCCAATCCATTTCGCTGGGGGTCTTCCTCTTTTTCTCTGACCTTCCATCTTACCAAACATGATATCCTTCTCCAGTGACTGATCCCTCCTGACAATATGTCTGAAGTCTGAGAGATCTATTAAAGAAATGGTTATTTAAAAGCATTCTGCAGTGAATCAAGATCTGTTTTATTTCTGGACCTTGTGTTTTTATTTCATGCCATTATATCTGTTTTGTTGTAGGTTTTACTTCATCGACTTGCAAGTTTCCACCGGGTCTGGAGTTTCCCTCCAAATGAAAATACAGGAAAGGAAGTGACCTGCCTTGCCTGGAGACCAGATGGCAAACGTAATGATTGTCTCATAAACATTGTATTGTTGTTACTACCAAAGACTTGTCTGTAAAGAAAGCTTATTTCCAGAAATAATTTACTGGAATTTTATATAGTAGAATTTTAAATACCAGTCTGGGGATTTTGTTTTAGGTTTAACTTTTTTTTTTTCATAGAACCTGGATTAATGCTATCATCTCATTTCTTGGCAAAGGTAACTCTAAAATGAAAGTCTGATGAACTCCAAGGTGGGCAGTTCAATATTTTATGCATTTATCATAATGAGGTAACTTAGTGATCCGGTTGTGAGAGCTTTTGTTTCTTTTATGTTGAGGTTGGTCCACATAGAAAGCTGCAGTCTTTGGTCTTCATCCGCTTATGGTTGAGTACTGACCCGACAGTGCCACACCAGGACTATAACCTTGAGTAGATCCCACCCTAATTTAGAAATATCTCAAGAATAAGATTTGACTCATTGAACACTAATGACCAAAGACCACTCAAGTGATGGGATGACATCAAGGACATCATACATGAAGAAAGCAAAAGGTCATTAAAAGACAGGAAGGAAAGAAAAGACTAAATGGATGTTAGCAGAGACTCTGAAACTTGTCTTTGAATGTAGAATAGTTAAATTGAAAGCATTGGTGAAAAACTAGCCTCAACACTAAACAGGGGTGTCAGCAAAGGGAGACAGCTCTGGAAGTGCTTCTCAGCTCTACCAAGAAACTGGGAACCTGGCCAGCTGACTGAAAGAGATCCATATTTGTGCCCATTCCACAGAAAGGTGGTCCAACACAATGTAGAAATTACCAAGCAATACCATTAACATTGTACACAAGCAGAGTTTACTGAAGACAATTAAAAAATGGTTCTAGCAGTACATTGACAGAGTTGTGAGAAATTCAGTTTGAATTTAGAAGAGGACGTGAAATGGGGGCTATTTCTGCTTATGTCAGCTAAAAGCAGAAAATACCACAAAGACATTTAAGTTTGTTTTATTGGCTAGGCAAAGGCATTTGATCATAACAGATTATGAGTAACAGTGCTAAGACTGGGAATTTCAAAACACTTAATTTTGCTCGTGAGGAACATGTAGACAAACCAAGAGGAGTCATTTCAACAGAACAAGAGGATACTACATGAGATCAAATCCAGACAGGTGTGTGTCGGATTGTATCCTTTCATTATACTTATTCATTCAGTCTGTACGTTGGGCTAATTATCTGAGAAATTGGGCTAGAGGCATCAGGATTAGAGGAGTACTCATTAACTTCCAATATGTGTATGACATAATCTTGTTTACTTAAAGTGAAGAGAATGAAGATCAAAGACTGTAGCTCTTTGTGTGGACCGTACCTCAACATAAAGGAAACAAGAGCTCTTCCAGCAGCTGGTTCCATAAGCTACCTCATCACGATAAATGGAGAAAATATTGATGTTTTCTTGGATCCATGATGAACATCCATGGAGGCAGGAGTTAAGAAACCAAACAATGTATTGCATTGGGCAAATCTGTTGCAAAAGACCTCTTTAAAGTGCTAAAAAAGCAAGAATTCACTTTGAGGACTAAGGTGCACCTGTTGCTGGCCATGAGATTTTTCAGTCACCTCATGTGCATGTGAAAGCTGGACAAGGAGTAGATGGCAGAGGTCAGTAGGTGATGACTTGGTAAGAAGGTACTAGAGAGGAGCGCTGTGTTTTCTGCTTGACACGGTTCCACCCAGAGACAAGTAAGGTAATAAGCACAGTACAGTAGCTTGCTCGTGAACATTCAAGCACTAGAGAATAACCTTAGAAAAGAGTGTAGTTGTGTGTGCCATGAGATCAATATCGACTCAGGTACCTTATCTGACAGGGTAGAACTGCCGCATTTCTCACAGGTCTTAATCTTACAAGTATTGTTGTTAAGGGCCCTCGATTAGTTTCAACTCATAGCCACCCTCTATAGGGTTTCCGAGGAGCAGGTGGTGAGTTTGATCTGGTTTTTGAAAATAATGATTTAAAGGAAGGATTTTTATGTCAAGTGATTTCTATGATTAAGATACTTTTAAAATAATAAAACTGAGCAATAAGTGAAAGGCTTAACTTTTTTCCCCAGGTGTTACACTAAGTGATTCTGATTATTTTTTTTCTCATCTTGTTTTAGTTTTGGCCTTTGCTCTTGCTGACACCAAAAAAATTGTTTTGTGTGATGTGGAGAAACCTGAGAGCTTGCATTCCTTTTCCGTGGAGGCTCCCGTTTCTTGTATGCATTGGATGGAAGTGACAGCAGAAAGCAGGTAGAATAAGGAAGAAGGAAGCTCCGGAGGCGCCGTAGAAGTAGAATGGTGGTAGGGTTGTCTTTTTAAAGAGAAACCTGAAGTGTTGAATGGTCTGTAGATCTGATTCATCAGTAGATACGTTCATCACATTTTACATTTACAAGTTTACATAGATGGCTTTCCTTTTTTTTTTTTTGTTTTCAATTGCTTTATTAGACATTTTCTTTTTTCCTGCAGTAATGTATTAGTGACCAACTTTTTTTTTTTTTTCTTTTCTTTGAATTACTTTTAGTATTTGACATCAAAGATTTATTCTTTAAAATGTTGTTGTTCTTGTTAAGTACTGTGGAGTTGGTTCCGACTCATAGTGACCCTGCACAGTGTTTCCGAGGCTGTAAATCTTTACGGGAGCAGAAAGCTTCATCTTTCTCCCACGGAACTGCTGATAGTTTCGAACTGCTGACCTTGCGGTTCATAGCCCGATTCATAACCACTACGCTACTAGAGCTCCTTATTCTTTCAAATAACGTTAGTTAAAATGACTGCCTAGCAGGTTGAGGTTCTGTTTCTCTTTTTGCTATATGATTCGTCTGGAACTGGGTGAGTGTGTCTTGGTAAATGCTGTTGGAGTATTAACGTGCTGAGTGGGGTTCCTTCTGTGTTCATAGTGCCTGACAGTTTCCATGTTTCATGAAAATGATTTTTTCTTAGTCTGAGTGGTCAGTGAAGATGGTCTAAAGGACCACTAGGTCTTACGAATACTGTTAAAAATATCTTTATTGTTTGGGGGCGGGGGATGCTTTCCACTTTGCTCCCATTCTATTTACATCCATTACGTTTGTAGCAAATGTGTTTGTCAGTCCTGACGATGTTGCCAGCTTTCCTCAGGGGCTTTCAGAGAATCAGACAGCGAGGTTCTAACCCTACTAGGCCCTGAGATTGGCTGGGGCTGACCCAGAGTGGTGTGTCTCCCGATGGGGGTGGGAGCGTATGGAGGGCAGCTGGAGCAGAGTCTGTCACAGTTTGTAGCCTGGTCAGTCACCTGCCAGCTGCATTCGTAACTTACATAGACGCTCCCTGGAGAGCACGCCAGGCTCTTTCAGGCTCCTTGATGTTGGATTGGGAAACACTCTTGTCAATTGACTATGTTTTCCACTTGCTTACTCATTTAAATATTTCCTGGTTTTTTTGGAGGTAGAATTTAGAAATAAAAGAGCAAAGTAGACTATTTGACAGTGTGTACGTGATACAGATCCACTGGCGTACGAAGCCATGACCATTGCCTTCCAGTCTTCCGTGACTCCCAGTGACCCTGGAGGACAGAGTGGAACTCCTCTCTAGGGTTTCCTAAACTCCACTCTCTAGGGGAGCAGAACTCCAGATCTGTTCACCCACTTTCAGTGTACCACCGAATACTTCACCACTGTCCCCCTGGGGCTCCTTAGGTAAGCCATAGGAATCATGATTAATCATATCATCATTGCAGTTGTCTTTAAAATGACTCTCAGTACTCAGATGCTTAGTGGGGCTTCTTAGGTGCTTTTAAACCATAAGCTCAGTGTCTGAGTCCTTAAAAGTGAGAGTATAAGGAACCTGGAAGGGGAGTGTGATCTGTGTTCGATGGCTAACTGAAGGGGCAGTCATTTGAATCCACCAGTCCCTCCAAGGGAAAAAGATGTGGTCGTCTACTTCTATAAAGGTGGGCAGCCTTGGAAACCGTTCGGGGGCAACTGTGCTCTGTCCTGCACGGTCACTATGAATATGAGTCAGAAGCAACTCTCTGCAGGTGGTTTTGATATTGTGTTTATCTGATGCTGAGGAAATGGTAAGCATTTTCTCAGCATCAGATAAACGCAGTATCAAAATCATAAATGCAGTAGTAAGGTGAAGTGGTAGTTTCATTGCTTTTCCTTTTAAACAAAGAACTTCCTACTTTTCTCCTGTTTGCATTTGTCATCATCACTATTTCATAAAGGCAAATGTTGTGGCGTTTGTTTATTTGGTAATATTATAGAACGGGGCATCCTTTAAAAAAGTAAGAATTGTTCATGAAAAAGGCAGTAAAGTCTTTGTTGGTTTGTAATGCTTGTCTTGTCTCTCTCTCTGCCCGCTTCTTAGTGTTCTCACATCCTTCTATAATGCTGAGGATGAATCAAATCTTCTCTTACCTAAACTACCCACGTTGCCCAAAAAGTAAGTATCAGCGTTTAATTTCTCTGGAATTAATATTTTAGATTCCCCCCTTTACTCTTATCATTTATGAGACAGTTTATTATAAGTTTTCGAAAAGAAAGTTCTGTTGAGAAAATGTCTTTCCCTAATCTGTGTTTTTCTTTAGTTATAGCAGCACCTCCAAAATATTTAGGTAAGATGCATCTTTTTTTTAAGCTAGATAATCTTTTATTATTTGACATTTGTTGAAAGATAACTTGATTGTTTTTATATTTCAGTGAAGAAAATTCTGATGAAATTATTAAGCTCTTGGGAGATGTCAGGTAAATCATGCATGCATCTTAACACTTACTGTTGTTAGTTTAGGGTTTCTAAGGTTGTAAATCTGCGGGAGCAGAAAGCCTCGTCTTTCTCCCTTGGAGTTGCTGGTGGCTCAAACTGCTAACCAGGGGTGGTTTGCAGTCCAGTGCTTATCCCATGTCTTAACGAGCAAGTTTAGTATCTTTAAAGTTGGTATTTGACATTTGAGGCCATTTCAAGATCAAGCTCTTTATTTGTCTTGTGATCTCACTGCTGACACTGACAACCCCGAACAGTACACAGTCATCACTGTCTGTTATTTGCTTGTTTTATTGTTTGGTCTTTAGTTTTGTTAAGTAAAGGAGGATGATAGATGTGCTAGAGTTTCCAAAATTTACATCTAAATATTTAAGTTCTTTAAGCCCATTAAAGACCAATGTGGCAATGATTGTGTGCATAGGGTCATTATGAATTGATACCAAGTGGATGGCACCTAACAACAATAAGAAGAAGCCCATTAACACATTTAATACCATTACTATGGTTAGGTGCTATCCAGTGGGTGTTAACTCTTAGCAGCCCATGCAGACCAGAATGAAACATTTCCTGGTCGTTAGCCAGCCTCACAGTTGTTCTGTTTGAGCCCATTATTGCAGCCACTGTGTCATTCCATCTCACTGAGGAACTTCCTCTTCTCCTCTGACCCTCCACTTTACCCAGGCATCATCCTTCTCTAGGGACAGGTCCCGCCTGACTTAGTACCGTAGCCATGATAAAACTAGCACTGCGTGTTAGCAGGAAAAGGGTTACACTGTGTTACTGAGAGTATGTTAAGACAATTGCTGTTAAAATGATACATTCTTATTTTTGCTGTAAACTGTTTTTTGTTTTTTTTTTAGCTAGATGAAGTATATGTTTTTTCTTTAGGTAAAAAGGAATAAGCCCACTATGATTGCTCATGGAGCACGAGCCAGGCTTGGTTGGGCTGTTTTCAGCTCCCTGCAGGAGAGCTCTATTTAGCATGTAGATTAGGTGGGAGCAGCAACCGTTTAGACCTGGGTGTAAAGAGTCGGCTTGTCTCTGTGGTTGATTACGCCTCAACTTGCTGCCTCGTTTTTCATTAGGCTTAATATTCTTGTCCTTGGAGGAAGCTCTGGATTTATTGAGCTTTATGCTTACGGAATGTTCAAAATTGCTCGAGTCACAGGGGTAAGTTTTCCTTTAAAATTTTCTATATCATTTCTCTGAGATTGTAAAAGTTCATTGGTTTATGGAAATAGAATACAACTTAGAATTTTTTTTTTTTCAGTTTAAACTATTAAAATGATGAGTTCTTGAACGTTCAAAGGATATTTTCTTGCTATGAAAAGTCTTTACAAAATGATGTGTGTGTTCATAAAAATTGGGGACTGCTAGTGAATTTTAGCTTGTATTTTAATAAACAGAACGATTGTCATAATACTCTGGATTCTGATGGAGAGTTTTTCTGGCCTGTGGTAGGTAACAGCTGCTTGGTGACAGGAATGTCATGACAGTCACCAGCAACACTCTTGTGCTCACTGCTGAGAAACCATAGTTGCTAAGTCTCAACTCTCTCCATCACGTTTCCATCTTTGCTCTTACGTCTCCCTGAGACCCACTGCCGCTGAGTCCAGTCCCATGCACAGAGACTGTATAGGACAGGATTTCTGGGGCTGGAAATCTTCACTGGAGCAGTCATCCTTATCTCTCTCCTATAGTGGGTTCAAATCACAGACCTTCTGGTTAGATCCCAGTGCTTAGCCCAGCGTACCACATGGGTTCCTTTACCATTCCCTAAAGAGGTAGAAAATATTGTAGATTCTGTGGAATATGTTGATAGTTTAATACAGTTGGGATCTTGGATATGTGTGTGTGTGCACCCCCTGGAGATTAGGAAGTGCTGTGCAGGTGGATGCCGGCTTTTATCTGCTGTGTGTTTCTACATTGTAAAATCCCGAGTCCTTCCTGTATTATAAGCAGATACAATCTGGCAGTAATACTAACTATGCTGGGGAATTCGACTGTATTACAGATTGCTGGTACTTGCCTTGCATTATGCTTATCAAGTGATTTGAAATCGTTATCTGTGGTCACAGAGGTTTCAGTTGATGGTGCTTTTGAAGTTTCATACTTTCAGGTGAGTACTGATACCTAGTAACAGTAGAGAGAAGGAAGATACTTGTAATAGATTTTTATTTGCTTTTATCTTTGGATTCTAATGATCATTAAGACAAAACACATCTGTTACTTGGCGTTGCCAGATCTTAGAACTAAAATTGTATTGCAGTGGGTACCATTTCATTGTTCCCTTGGTCCAGTATTATTTTCATAAGAACAGTGCTTTGATGGTCTGTTAATGACCTGGACGATGCCAATTCAACTTTTTGCCACCTGTTTTCTCTAGACTCTGACCCAGTGGTTAATACTGAAAGCTCATGTTTATTAATTGTTTAATATATGCCCGGTACTAAGCTTTCATGGCGTCCTGCTATGGTGCTGTAGGGTACGCCCTGAACTGCTAGCCACAAGGTCTGCAGTTCAGACCGACCAGTTGCACCTTGGAAATGTTACACAGGGTTGCTATGAGCCTGAACGGATTCAATGGCATTTAATAAAGAAACAAACTCAGGTGGTGGTGTGGTGGTGGAGGTTGTGTACCATTGAGTTGGGTCTGACACATAGCGACCCTATATAGGTTTCAGAGGCTGTAAATCTTTATGGGAGCAGAAAGCTTCATTGTTCTCCTGTGGGGTGGCTGGTGGATTTGAACTGCTGACATTACAGTTAGCAGCCCAATGCGTAACCCACTATACCACCGGGGCTCCTTAATTCAGTAGGTGAGACTATTAGTACCCCGATTTCATAGAGAAGTAAATAGGGAACAGGATGCAGAGCATACTCGATGGTGTAGAACTGGAAAGTGGCACTCTTAACTGCACGTTGCCTCTTGCATGAGGTGGCCACTTAATATCAGGAAATACCTTTGCACATTAAGCAAAATCTTCCTAAGATTGTCATTTTTCCAAAGTGCACCCATACTGTCAAAAGTAGAACAACAAGAAGACGGCGATGTGCCGTCTGAATACAACCTTTGTTGTATTCAGAGCTCCAGAGAGCTCTTGACTTCGTGGCTTACTGTAACCATGGTTAATATTCGGAAGGATCCTTGAAAATCTGGTTTCCAGGAGCGTAGTTAGGGCTATAATAAAATGGCTGATGATTTCTGTGGAGTCTGTCAGAGACATTTTTAGTAACAGTTTTATGGGATATAATTTGCATGGCACTAACATATTTCATTTGTATTTATGAATAGCTGATTTCTTTTACATCCTTCAAGAATTTTTATAAACATTTGTGCTTGTGTTTTATGTTCTTTCTAATAGTGTTACAAAAGAGGTTACTCCATGTGTTCTAGGGAGGTAGAGGGGGTGGAATGTGTGCCGTCAGGCAGTGGTGTTCTCTTAGTGTCTGTTGCAGACCGAGTAAGCCTGGTCAGAAGTTCGAGGCCCTATAGGCCCGAGTGTTACAGATTGCAGGCTCTGAGGAAAAAATTCTGGCCACTTGGCAGTTAATAGCAAATTGTTTTTCATCTTAGTGTTCAGTTATATTTATTTAATTCCAAACATGAGCCCTTAATGTCCACAGATAAATGTAATATTTTCCTAAAGCTGAAGACTGTAAAGGTTTCAAAGGTCAAGCCTTTCTCCAAAGGATTAACTGAAAATAGTTTAGCTACTTCACAGTTCTTTGTTCTACAGACAAAAAAGCCATCTTCCCTAAATCTTTCCCAGGTGCAAGTTATTCAGCCAAGTTCCTGAAAACCTGGCTCAGGAAGCCGAAACAGCGGGACTCCGCCCAAGCCTTTTGTCCTTACCTCTCACCTTCCCCCAACTGAGCTCATGGGCTATAGATATGTTAATTGAGCCTGAGAATCCAAGTTGCGGGCCTGGGATTCGAACCAGCGAAGTACGATGTAAAGTTACCTGAATGTCTGGAAAATTACTTATGTTAGCTATACCTTGTCTTAGTCCCTCCCAGCTTGGTGTGAAGCTCCTCCCCTAAATAAAACAGAGGCCCAGGCCAGCCCAGGTGTGCATTACAAGTTGTAGGGCATGCAGTAAAGATTGCAGGGCAGTGAGTTGCTGCCTGCAGAGCCCATGATGCCTGTACTCCCAAGTCTGCCCACCAGTGATGTATCCACCCTGGCTTTGGGGTGTCTCTTTGTCTCCTTCCTTCTGTCTGTCTGTGGATTCTTTCGCTATCCCTATCGCCGCAGGATATCCCCTCCTCATGAACCAAACACTCGTGAACCAAGTTCCTTTGTCGAGGACAGTGTCTGACAAGTGTCTGCACTGGGCTATGCTCAGAGAGAGCAGGGTTCAGATACAGTCTCTGTGACATATGGTTAGAGCTGCTGTAAACCATAGGACTGCTCCTGTTTGATTTTTGAGCTGTCTGGTTGTAACTGTACTTTATTCTTTCTGCAGCTGGAAACCGACCTCCTGTATTCTTTCTTACCTGAGGTGACCCGGATGGCCAGGAAGTTCACTCACATCTCAGCTCTTTTGCAGGTAGTCATGTACCACTTGTTTTATGTGAATATGTGCAATCAGTTTTTGAAGTTCTGTTTAAAAAAAAAAAGGCTTTATTTTATAATACTTCACTGCCCTGCGGTGGTGGTGGTGGTGGTTGTTAAGTGCCATTGAGTTGGTTTCGACTCCTAACAACCCTGTATAGAGTTTTAAAGGAGTGGCTGATGAGTTTGAACCAGCAGTCCTGCAGCGAGCAGTCCAGTGCTTATCCTAAAGTGCCACGCTGTTGTTGTTAAGTGCTGCTGAGTCGATTCCGACCCATAGCAACCCTGTATAGGGTTTCCCAGGAGTAGCTGGTGAACTTGAACCTCCAACTTTGCAGTTCCAATGGCTCTGCAGTAAATATCTGATTGGCTGGTTGTTGTTAAGTGCCGTCAAGTCAGTTCTGACACATAACGACCATATATAGGATTTCTGAGGAGTGGCTGGTGAGTTTGAACTGCTGACCTTGCGATTCAGTGACCTTGCAGTCCAGTGCTTATCCTACAGCACTACACTGGGACTTCTTATATGTCTATATGTGTTGTTGTTGTTAAGTGCCGTCGAATCAGTTCCAACTCACGACGACTCTGTGTAGGGTTTCCGAGGAGAGCTGGTGAGCGTGAACCACTGGCCTTGTGGTTCAAACTGACTTTGCAGTCCAACGCATTAACTCACAGCGGCACACCAGGAGATGTCTAATCTATTGGTTCATTTTATAATCTCCATCAAAGCAGGAAAAGGAATTTATTGAGAGTCTATTTCCATTTACCGGTCTTTACCACTTCAAAGAGAAAAGAACAAAAATACAGTTCAAAACTTTTAAAATATTCCCATAAATGAAAGTTCTATTTTGGACATTTGGCAAGTTTTGCTATAAATAAAGTACGATGGAAAACAGTCATCAGCTTCATAATTAATCGCACTCTAGGTGCTGTGGGTTAATGCGCCAGACTACAAAGCCATTTGCACTTCCAGGTTGGCGGTTCAAGCTCACCAGCTGCTCTTTGGAAACCCTATACAGAGTTGCTATGGGTTGAAACCGACTCGACAGCGCTTAACAACAACAACAACAACAAAAAATATGTTCTTCTTCTGTAGGGTAACAATATGGGTTGGATTCACCCAACTGGTTCCCCTGGGCCACCTTCCGCTCATCTCGGTTGGGGTTGGCTGTGCTTCTCTGGTCTGCTGACTGATTTAAGTTTCCCTCCGTTGAAAAGGTTTTGTCCCGCTCCATACTCCTCAGCTTTCTGCTAGCTAACTCCTGCTTGTTCACATGGTGGTGGCGGTAGGGCTGTCTAGTGAAAGCAGAAACATGCAGAGCACTTGAGACCTTGGACTCAGTTTCTCTTCTGCTGTGAATTTTGGCCTTATTTATTTATAATCTACCAGTCATTTACCTCTTGATCATTAAAGGGTTCTGCATATCTATCTTTCTCTTAATTGTTTAAGGAGTGCAAGTTTACAGAGCATGTTGCTTTCCCTTACAATTTATGGACGTTTTGTTTCATGACATTTGTTGCAGTTCCTTCAGTGTAACAACACTCTGTCCAGTTCTTCCCTGAGCTCCTTATTCCGTCCGTCCTTCTCTCCTTCCCCTTCCTGCCTTCTGAGCATTAGTTGGGGGCACAAGCTGCCCTTCTGTCCTCATGTGGTTGATCACTCTGAGGTGTGTGTTCTGAAGGAGAACTATGGCTTACCTTGCACCTGTCTTTGGTTTCACTGCAAGGTCAGTCTGAAATTTGGAAGGTTTCTGAGGGCCCGGTCTGGGACGTTCCACCAGTCCCTGGCACACCAAGAAGTCTAGCCTTTTGTTTGTTATGATATTTAATTTTGTTATACGTTGTTCACTGAAGATTATTTTAAGGATCCTGTGTTAATATTAAATAGCTGTCCAAACCACATTTTGACATTTAATGTACATTAAAACCTATCTTACATATAAAAAAACGTGAGGATACTTATTTTCCCAGATTGAAGCTATTTTAAGAATGTTTTGTTGTAAAGTTCTAAGAAGCTCTGAAACTTGTATCATCATTTTCAAATGTTGTTAAGTGCTGTGAGGTCAGTTCTGAGTCATAGCGACCCTGTGTAGGGTTCCAGTTAGCAGTGCTTATCCTGGACTTCATGATCGTCTCCTGAGCTCAGAGTGATTGAAAGTAAATTCTGGATTCCTCTGTGATAACTGACAATATTGTTAAGTACTGCTGAGTCAGTTCTGACCCATAGCAACCCTGTATGGGGTTCCCAAGGAGTGGCTGGCTGATGAGCTTGCACTGCTGACCTTATGGTTCAAACTGACTTTACAGTCCAGCGTATTGACCCACAGTGTCACACCAGGATTCCAATTAGCAATAAGAGTACATATGCTAGTTAAGTCATTTGTTGTTGTTGTCAGGTGCCATC